TTATCTAGTGCTTCCTCTACGTTTCCTCACATTTCATCAGACATACTGTGAGGAAATATTTAGTTTGTATCTGGCTGACCTGTCCAACAGATGTTTCACTGTCTAACACAGAATTGGAGAGCTTTAATATTTTTTGATAAATCAATGCGGTACAAGCCACTTTCATTTTCAGTCCTATGTGAAAGGAGCAATGTACGCAATAATGCATAATAAAAGCATCCATGATGGACAAAAGAATTATACCGCCTGCGCTGTAATATACATCATCGCTCCATTTTTCTTTGTCGATCGCGAAGTAGCGCAACAAAGTAGCAAGTAATAACGGTTGATACATTCTGTAATATAATTAAACATTATTAGAAGCAAGTATAGCGTGTATGAAAATTATGTTATAAATCAGATATTAATAACTTATTAACTTATAACTTTTAGCTGTTCAGTTTTTCTTAAATTCACGCTGAATCGTCTAAAAAAGTAAAGTTTATTTTTACTAATGACTGATAAACCCTTTAATATATATGTATAAAAAATTATTTTCCTTTTTATATTTGCAGTTGGATTTTCTAATTAGATAAAATAACCTTCCACTTATACACATTACCTATTTGTCACTATAATGAAAAAACTAAAATTAATTACATATATATCCAACTTATAATTAATTACATACATATCCAACTTATTTACAGTATTTATTTAGTGACGCAGCTTCCCTTTCAGAGCAAGCAGTAGGTAAAGCCAATTTGATTTCAAATGCATCATACTGATATACAATTTGTTTATCTTATTTGCTTAACATACCTAGAAAACAGTTCCATAACTGCTTGTGCAATTCCAATTAGAAGAACCGGTTTTCCGAAACAGCGCAATAGCACCCTAAGTAATTGTGGTTTACTGCCATTTTTTTTTTTAGCACATGATTCCACTTCTCTTTCCCAAGCTTTACCTATAATTTCACCTAAGTTGTTGGTTCTGTCTTGTGTAAGAGTAGCATAAAGATCGGTCTCCTCCAAATCTTTTTTGTAGCCAATTCGAAAAATCTTTCGGGTCCACCTATATGTATTAATCGTTAAACTCCTTAAATTCACATATAGTAAATACTTAATTATTATTTTAACTCATGCAAATATATAAATATTTGTATGTATGCACGGAGCACATACAAGTGTAATAGTGCATACGCACACTGCGAAGAACCTTGAATGCGCATTAAAATATCATACATAAAGCTTTAAAGCATTGCATCAAGAATATTTATTTCCAATAAAAATATTTTTAATATTCACATTTCCTCATCATCAAATCACATTGACACACACACACACACACACACACACACACACACAGCGCGCGCACGCACACAAATATAGAAATACTTACAATATATTAAAATTTTCACAAACAATCTATGTAGGCATATGGTACACATTTACTTTTAATCTATATTATAATAGATAATATTATAAGATATTTTTTATTTGTACTTACCAAAAAGTGAGAATAGAAATTATATTTGCATTTTGTCGTGGATTTTTTGGATACTTTTGTCGATCGTTGCTTATCATGATGACTCTTAAAACTTTTATGCATCTTCAAATATGTTTCATTTTAAATATAAAGGAAGAGAACTGGATTATCTATATTTTTTAATTAGTCCTAAAAATAATTAATTAAAATAATAAAATAATAAAATAAGATAATAAGATAGAACGTATGAAGGATATTTTATAGATCAAATGACTTTATTTTAATTATATTTTTGATAAATTGTCAAGAGAGATGTGAAAGAAGGCCATCATTGACTTCAAGTCTCTAATTTTCAATTATATATAATACATATCTTATCCTTAAATTGACAATTACTTTAAGCAAATTTAATTGAAAATCGTTCACTTAACAATTAAAATGAGCAAATTCAATTAATAATAATCCAATTAACGATTGATTTAAACAAAATTAATCGGAAATCGCCTAATTGATGATTGATTTGTTTTTGCTTTTAGCATGGGGATTTGTTTTTGCTTTTAACTTGGATTTCAAAAAATCGATTTTTTTCTATTTTTGAATACTCTAAACCTTTAGAATATATTAGGTGTTGGAATTAATTCGTAGCGTTTTTTAATGAAAGAATGTTATTTATTTCACATGAGCATTAAAAAATACATTAATGAAAGTACTTCCCATCACTTGTAAAACGCTACGAATTAATTCCAACACCTAATATTTTGAAGTATTTTGGGAATTCAAGTTGCTTAAAAATTATTTAGAGAAACAATTTTTTTCGAATTATGCATTTTTTTTAGAAATAATATATTCTAGAGTGATTGCCATGATAATTCGTACAATTTTAATCCGATCAATTTAAAATTTTAAAGAAATATTTGCAACACTTGCCTTTCTCGGTTGAACTACCATCAAATAAAAATTTGAACTTTTTTGATTTTTTGCAAGAAGAAAGAATATTCATCTTTATTTTTGAATTGCAGTTATATTACATGCCAGAATTATTGTTAGATATAGAGATAAATTTTTATAAGTTCAGAATATTCAGAAATAGGAATGAATATTCTTTCTTGCTGCAAAAATTAAAAAATGAAATTTTTATTTCATGGTAAATCAATCATCAATTATGAGATTGATTAATTTTGTTTAAATCAATCATTAATTGAATTGTCATCAATTGAATGATGTACATTCAATTGAATTCGCATTTTAATTATCAATTGAAGGTCTTTTAATTAATTTGATGTCCATTTCTACCAATGTAGATTAACTTTAATTTTGGTTCAACTTAATCTTTGTCTTTTTCTAATCTTTAGAATTAGTGAACAAATGTGTCTCCATGGAAGACCAACTTTCTGCTATGATTAATTTTTGCGCTACACGTCCTAGAAAGTTTATTTTATAAAAAATTGGGTTTTTGTTTGTTATTAATATTATATTATTATTGATATATAATAGGTATACATATATACATGTGTGTGTATATGTGTGTGTATGTGTGTGTGTGTGTGTGTGCAGATATATTCAGGGATCTACTGAATGTCGCATTTTAAATGACAATTTCAGGAATATCTCTTAAAAAGTGCATTTTAGAAAAAAATATTTCAGATGAAAGTGAAATGGTTTCGAAGGAGATGTATTTTGGTCATGTCATTTTTTTCCTAGATACAGTTTATATCAATTGACTGATCTCAATACTTTATACCTAATACCTTTGTACGTAGAATAATTAGAGGAATAATATTGTATATAAAACTCGTATAACTTTATTTTTTTAAATGAATGTTACTTTCTTTTTGGCGCTTCCACCTAGAAAAAAAAACGACGTAGTCGAAATATGTTCTCCTCGAAACCATTTCATTTTCATCTGAAACATTTTTCTTTAAAATGTACTGTTTAAGAGATGTTTTTGAGTCGTTTAAACTAGGATACCTAGTATATACATAAATATAAACTCCTGCGCGCGCGCGCGCGCGCGCGCACACACACACACACACACACACACACACACCTATTATATATCTTTCAATAATGATATAATATCAATAATATATAAATGAAAACCCAATTTCTTAAGAATGAACTTTTCAAGACGTATAGCGTAAAAAAACTATAAGTCATAGAAGAAGGTTGGTCCAATGGAGACATTTGTTCAGAAAGACGAGAACTACACAAATCCAAAATTTAGTCAATTTGACTAAAAAACCAATTTCTAAAGTTGAGGGAGGAGGTCTTGTATCAAAAAACCTGTAATTAAAATTAAAACTATGAAGTACTTATATAATATACTAATAAACATAAAATTTAAATTTAAAAAAGTAGTTTAGAAAGTGTTTTAAGTAATTAAAAAATTTTTTTTATGTATTCTATACTCACCAAATTGATTGTGATAAGAACCTTTTCTCATTAAAAGCTCTCATTAATCGTTTAGAAATAAGGCAGTCGAATTTGTCTGACACTTTCCCTGATCACTCTCCCTATGCGCTATATCATATTTCCTTGAATAAGAACGATCCTTATCGTGAGTAAAGTTGAACAGTATACATAATACAAATTTTCAACAAAAAAGAAGATATTTAAAAGATGTAACCAATTAGTTCATTCGAATAATGCAGCTCTAGCGTGATGGCAGTGTTATGTACTTGGCGAAAGACGCTACTGTGTCTACTGAGTCTCGTTATCCTGATGCTTAAAACGGTTGTAAATTTACTGATAACACAAATCTTTCTTTTTATCACCGTTTTTAAACGACACGTGTTTATACTTTTGTTTAATATAAGAGCTAGTCATTTTAAAACATTTTCAAATTTAGTCATCTGTTTATTTATATGTCTCGCATTTTTTGTTGTTATTCATTTTTAGGAATATTTATTATTTAATATTTATATTTTATATTTATTTAATATTTATTATTTAATAATTAATTTACTCAATTTAAATAATTTATTTTATTCATATATGTCATCAAATAAAATAAGTTTAGTCTGAAATAAATATTGTTCACACATACACACGCACATATAACATTAAATTCAGTAAGTACTAGCTAGTTGCACACTGAATACTATATTTTTCTAACATTTAGACGTCGTGCAATTCTAAGTACGAATGCGAACGACATAATATACGAGCGAGAACGATACTTTCTTTATTTTTATTTTCTTGTATGTTCAGAAAATAACATCTGGCAAATAGCTGCAGTGAAAGGAAACGATATTATTGCATGTCGAAACAGTCAAGGAACTCCTATAACACGGGAAATAAGAAAACGAGCTCCAGGAAGACTGTAATTATAGTGTGTCTGCGATATTTTTGGTGAAATTCTCATACTTTCCGTATTCGATGTCGTATGTGAAAGAAGTAACAAAAAAAAATATATGCACGACTGGCTCGTTAATCTTGCAAGAAAATTGATGTTATTCATTTATTTTGCATGATCGGCATGCCTCAGCATTTCTCAGCATTTGACTAGAAAAGTTTACCTCGAAGCTAGTACGATGTATCTATTGCCAGTCTGCTGTACACCTTCGACTCGCATCGAAGTCCAAAAAGTCATGCAGGTAAAGTTAACAACAATATGAAAGAATATTCTGTCATCACCTCTGAAGAAACAAACTGTAAATTCCTGAATGACGATATTTCTTTCATTTTTAGTCCGAAGCTGATCTCACTGAAGCATTAAACCTAATAATTTGGAACAAACGATTCTTATCTTTTTTGGGTTTATGGCCTCTCAAGCCGAATCAGTTTCTATTCATATTTTTTACCATATACATGATAATTTATTGTATCATGGGGGCAGGCCATTTGATCAAAAATTTTGATCAGCCAGAAGTCGTCGTGGCAAATTTAACAGATAACGTACTGTTTGGAATGATATTGGGAAAATTGTTCATATGCAAACGCAACTGCGAGATAATGATCGAGTTTCTGAAAAGCATCGAAATCGATTTCACGGCAAGGATGTACGACAATGTTCAGGAGAAAATGGCGTATTTATATTATAACAAAATCGCACTGCTTTTCGTGAAGATATCGACAAGTATGGCAGGGATAGCAGCCACGATGTATTACTTGAGGACATTTTTCGAAAATTGGAGCGCGAGTAAGTACGACCATTATATATTTTCACGCGTAAGACTTAAAGCTATATTTCATGATAATGGTTTAAAAAGCATTATCTATCGTTCATTATCTATTAATTATCTCCTCGAGTCATTATTTGCTATTCCAAAGTGGAGTGTACTATGCAGACACTGAGTTACGTTCCAACTCAATACTTTTAGATATCGAGATGCTATAAGTAATAAAAATTTAATTTTTATTTGAAATAATTGAGTATAATACAGCACTGTCGTTTATTTTAATAAAACCGTATTTTTTGATGTTACAATTTTTATTTTGAATATTTAAATATTTTTAATTCTATTTATACGCTGTAAAAGGCTATAAGCTAATTTATAGAAAAAGATAAAATTACTTGCAATTGGTTTCTTTTTGGGTCAGTCTGATCGACGATTACGCATATTCCAATTAGGCTATGGTTGGATAAATATAATAAAGACGATGGAAAATTAAATGTAACGTGATGTATATAGTTGTATCCGGTAATTTTTCGTATAAATTACCGTATCCGGTTCATCCCTTCTTTGAGATCAAGGACACTTCTACGTACATATGCATGTGCGTGTATCTGGCGCTATGTGTAGCGATTATAGTATGCGGTTATGCTGGTCCAGATGCTTTTGTACTCAGCATGACTCTTCATGTTTGCGGTCAACTTGCCGTTTTATCATGCAAAGTCAACCGTTTGTTAAGAGATAATGAGAATTATCATCGCCATATTAGTAACATTGTGATGAGACATTACCACCTAATAAGGTGAATTCATATTTAATTTATTACACGTAATAATAAGATTTTAATATAATAGTAATTTTAATTATAATGCGTTTGCATAGGTAATAATATGATATTTTAACAATGTATTACAATTCCAGATTAGCAGAGATCTTAGAGAACAATTTCAACATAATATGCCTACAGCAAACTTTGGGCACTTTATTGTTGCTCTGTTTCACAGTATATCATATAATTTCGGTGAGCTTTATGATTTGAAAGTTGGAAGATTATTCTTCCATTTTACAATTTGCTTCTCCTTTAAAAAAAATATTGATGCTAAATAAAATATTATATACATATACATTTTAGCAATATTTTATAATTGGGTCGAAAATAAGTGTTAAATTTTTAAAAAATTTGGTGCTTATTTTTCTTTCAAGTTTATTATAGTTTTTATCAACTTTGTAATTATATAAAAAAATTATAGATCCTTGTAAAAAGCGTTTGTTTTTACGTATATGTTGCAGCCACAGACTTCTATAACTAGAAGTGCGTTTCGAGTTTCGTTTCATTTATTCTTCTTTATTAATTGATTAACAACAAAGACAAATGACGCATCATGCGCTTCATACGTAATTCGGAACGTATCCTAGATTACTAATTCAATGTGATAGAAAAGAAATGAACTTGATTCCGAATTTTTCTTGTTTCAATTTTTCAGTTTGCCATATGCTTATGCATGTGTCCTGTCTGTGAATTTATGTGAAATCATTAATATTACTGTGCGATTTATATAGGGTGTATTGCCAAAATAATTGCCAAATATTTCATGGGCAGGAGAGCGGGCTAAACTAAATCAAAAAGTTCTCTTCCATTTTGTAATTTTCACAATAATTAACAAGCTATTAATTACTAACAATTATAGAAAATTGGTCTTCAATAATTTTTTATTCAAATACTATTAACTTTACAGAAAAACTGCAAGAGACAAAAATTGTTTATTTTCTTCTCATAAAGTTTTGAGAATTTTTTCAGAATTTTTTCAGAATTTTTTAATGTTGGTAAAAATAAGAAGATGCAGTATTAAAAGTTGATAAAAAATTCTGAAAAAATTCTTAAAGCTTTATGAAAAAAAAATAAACAAGTTTTTCTCTTGTAGTTTTTCTGTAAAGTTGACAGTAAATAGACTGACAATGAGACTGACTACAAAAAATTATTAAAAACCAATTTACGACAATTTTTAGTAATTAATATCTTGTTAACTATTGCAAAAATTGCAAAATGGTAAAGAATTTTTCGACTCAGTTTAGTCCGTTCTACCTGCTCATTAAATATTTGGCGATTATTTTGGGAAACTGTATATATGAGAGTGAGTGAACACAAATATGGCGCTGCTCAGCGCTTCAAACATGGAGATAAAATCGACAGTCTATTTCTAGAAGTCTGTGATTGTAGCTTTTATAATGTGATAAACAAAAAATGTAAATGGATAATTTCACTAATTCCGGGTAGCAAGTTGTCGTTATTTTGACGTCGATAGTTAATCATTTTAAATTATGACGTTATGTAATCTATATTTAAGATGTCATAATATAATTATCTTATTGACCAAATGACTTAATAACGTCATTTATTTATGACGTCTTTACAATGTCATACTTAATGACATTAATTGGAGTTGAATAAATGGCCAATTAACGTATATTTATTCCGTTAATAACATGAAAATAATGATGTATTTTTTATGTCAGTTTATGACTTTGTGTGAGTGATAAGAATTCATGTCATTTTATGATGTCTAGATGTCAAGGAGCTTATGATTCTTAAAATAAAGTGGAAATTATGAAAGTAATTGAAACTACTAGAATATTTATAACTTCAATATCTAGCAATTTTGATTATTTTTGTAATATTCACTTCGTCTCAGAAACCATATAAATTCGTCATAAGAATAATTAATGACGTAAAATGAACGATATCTTGCTACTAATAACACAAAAAAAATGACATAATTTTTACGTCGACTTATGATGTCATGTATCTGTGACAAATCCACGTCATTTTACTATGTTTGGACACCATTTTAAATCATCATAAGAATGACTAATTAATGACGTTAAACAGACGACACCTTGGATAACTTATAATTATAGCGCAGAATTCTTTAAAATTTGAGTATTTTCTCGTAAATAATATACATGCACAATATTTTTTATAAATTAATTACTGTTCATGTTGATATTCAATTAATGAACGGTTAAATCATATTTCAGACATCGGCATATGGCGATGAAACTACTCTCCTAGCTTTTGCATTATATGTATCTTGCGTAATTAGTACAATTCTTGGTTATTGCTATATAGGGGAGTGCCTCATCATTGAGGTAATTACAAAAAATAGGATAATTAATTTACCTATCTGGGTATAAAAAATATGTAATGATCTATTTATGTCTAAGCCAAAGTGTCTGCAAATTTGTTCATTTTTTAATCTTATTTTGAAATTACTCTACTTAATTAAAGTACTAATTATTTGAATTAAATGCTAAAAATCTTAAATAAATTAACTATAAATTATTTCCTAGAAAACACAAATTAGACAAAGAGTCCAAATTTGGAACGTACAGCATATAAGACAAAAGTAACTTAAAGTAACTTACAAGTCATCTTATGTTCTGATTTTGGATTTCGTGTAATTTGAATAGCCTTTATAAAATATATATTAACATTGCTTGTTTTATTCAGAGCACAGCATTACGTGAAGCATTTTACAATTCCAATTGGTACAATAATCCTCCATCAACATCAAAGTTAATCAATATTTGCATGGTTCGATCTGAGAAACCATTAATGTTAACTGCCGGTAAATTCTGTGTATTATCATTGAATACGTTTACGAGTGTAAGTTAATATATGATATGTTTAAGGAGATCCTAAAGCCTCCTATTTTACCACGTAAGCATGTATAATTTTTGTATAAGAAATACTTTTTTCTCTTTCACCGATTTGAAAATCCTTTTCCAGAATTAAAGTATATGCATTAATACGTATATGTCTGAAAAGTGGAGAACAATCAAAAAATTGTTTAAAAAATTTTGAACAATTCAAAATTGATATATTTTTTACCATTTCTTATGCTGATTCTACAATGAATCAGTAGTTGGAAGTTTTGGTCTTAATCGGTGGAAGTTGGCCAATCAGCCTTAGTCGTACAAATTGGCCAACTCTTATTGGTCAACTAAAAAACTTACCAATAAAACTTAGGACTACCGATTACCGACTCATTGAATCAGTGTAAAGCTGGAATCAGACTTAATCTCAATCTTTAATGCATAGTCTGATTCCGGCCTAACATGACATTTCAGCTGTCAAGATCTATCATAAAGCTTAATAACATGTACAAAATAGTGGTTTCCAGACACGAACAAACAACATTGTGTTCTTAGAATTAAACTCAGATGCTTTATCATGACTAATTTGTTATTTGAAAAGTGACACGTGTAACTGCATGTATCATAGATTGCGTAAGGTATTGCTGTGGTAGTATAAGAAGACATGTCGGTGTGCGGCGCGACCTCTAATGATTTCGTTGGAGTTTGAATTTTGCTTTAGGATCCCCTTAAATTGTATATTTTTCATTGTTTTGTTAATGCACATACTTCTTAGAGCATATTTTATTTACAGATTGTAAAAACATCGATGGCGTATGTATCTGTGTTACGCAAGTTTATATAAAAGTATTTTAGTTTAAAGTATTTTATCAAAATTTGTCTAAAAAACATATAAGATTATATTAACAATTAGTTTATATTTTATGTTATAATTATATATAATAATTTATATTAACTATGTTATAATTTATAAACTTGTTAATGCTAATTATCTATATCTATATTGTTTTAATAATATAACAAACAAATATATTTGTTGAAGTTCATAATATTGATATTTGAAATTTATACATAATGCTTACGTCACATACTGATAATTATATTTGAAATTTAGATTAAGAAATCTATTTTTCATTATATAAGAATTTTAATTATATAGAATGAAAAGCAGTGAAAGCAATAATAAAAGAATTCAAATCACGGAAAAAAATTTTTTATGTGCATGAATATGTGTAAATATATATAAACATACATAAACACTTATAAAAATTCATAAATATGTATAATTATATGAAATTTATCCATACATGTTCATACATCTTTTTTTCTTTCGTAAAATTATTTTTTAGTGTAAAAATAATTTTTTAGTGTAGAAATAATAATAATAATGTGAAAACAAAAAATAATTAAAGAGATAATTTTCGCATTGTTTGTTTTAGAAAAAAAAAACAAGTTTGGGAAAATATTTAAAAAATTGTTCATATATAATTATGCATAATTTTATATATAATTATACATAAATAATTTTTTATATTTCTTCAAACTTGATTTTTTCTAAAACAAATAGTGCGAAAATTACCTTTATAATCATTTTTAACGTTTTCACATTACTATTATTATTTCTATTACATTAAACAGTAATTTTATAAAAGAAAAAAAAATGTATGACATGTATGGACATATTTCATATATAATTATACATGTTTATAGATATTTATGCGTGTTTATGTTTATACATATTTAAATATATTCATGCATGAAAAATTTTTACCAGGTATTACAAGAATAAATATCATATTTAGATGTATTTCCAAATGCACATGAATATGTAGGTTTAAAAACAAATCTTAATAAACACCAGCTAACGCTAAATATTCATAGAAAGTTCAAATCGTATTGTATGCCGAATATTCCGGTGAAAGAAGTCAGAATCACAAAATATACAAATGTCGATGAAATGTACAGAATATTATATGAATATTCTTGTGTATATCACAAAATCGCGAGCGAGCGAGACATATCTTCGCCGACAGAGGGCTATTTACTCGTTAACAAGAATCATCTAGGAGAGAATCATCTAGGAGAGAATATAAGGAGCGCAACATTTTGCTTGTAATGTGATCAATGTTAAATCGATGGAAATTCAACATCGACCGACGTTAATTCAATATTGATCGATCAATCATTTGTAATTGAAGATGTAAGGAGGATACTGTATTGAGGGCATACAGTAAGTCCGTATGCGAAATGGTCGAAATCTATTGTTGAAATCTATAGTTAAAATGGCATTGACGTTGATCGAGCAACCATTTCTGGCTGGACAGAAAAACCAGCTTACTCCTGACACATGTCTACAATCTCTATTGCTACTATTCATTGTAGACGACGTTTAAAATTTGTTCACACTGTTATAAAACAGATATTCCACAAATATAGTTTTAATAAAATAATTAAATTGTGCGACATTTCACGCGTCACCTTCGCATACAAAGCCTTATAGTTAAGCTTTTTCAAGATTTTTTAATCAAATTTTTATTAATATACAATTCTACATAACACGTACATACACAAGGTAATCTATTATAGTCTTTCCATACAATTTTCTTCCAACAATTCGTTATTCGAAAAAATATTTCAAATAAAACTTATTCTTATTCAAGGAGGACATCTTATGATGAACACACATTTTTCTTATAGCTGAAGATATCTTTGGAGTAAATTTCACTTGCACTCGAATAACGAATAATTCGGAAGATAATTGAATGGAAAGATTATAATGAATCATACTGTATATTGATGTGGGTTATCAAAACTTCTTTGACGTATTTATCGATGTTGCTTGCCATTATGTCATAAAGGAATATAAGAAAATTATTATTTAAGAACATACACATAATTCACAATATTAAATGATTTTATATAGTAGATAGAGAAATATATTTAAAATATACTGAATTTATATTTTGAATTATAATGTCCGTATTATCGTAATTTATGAGTACAAAAATCGTAATAAAATAATAAAACAAAAATAATTATATAACTTATGGCTATTTTTCTAGAAATTTAAATTATATTTATAATTTAGATCTTCAATTTAGATTTATATTCGTAAGTAAAGTACATTTTTTTGTTTATATCTCAAAATCGTTTTGAGTGTATTAAAATATCCGTATATTTAAATAATAATCTAAAATGCACAGATTCTTTCCATTTTTTATCATAATGGAAAAATTAGTGTTTCAAGATTAGTGATAGAGTTACACTGCACAATATTCAAAAAACTGAACTTTTCATACACGCAGTCTAAAACAAACTGACAACAACTTTTGTAATCGTGCATCGATGAAGAACCAATTATGTTCAATTTTATTTTGGATGAAAAGCACAGGTGGGTTCAGTAACACACTTATATGCAATTTATACGTTAATTTTCGGCGCCATTATTACCTGTCCGATAATCCACGTGCTTCTATAGACAATTCTAAGTACGAAAACAGAGATTACTTGGACTCTTACGTTCGTATATTTGGTATAGTTTCATGCGAGCTTTCGAGGAAAGAACAACATAACATACGATGCAGGTGATGAATTGTGGATTTTTTTTATTGTTACAAAACGCCATGAAGAGATATATGTTATTACATTAGTTTTTATTAATTACAAAGACTTTTTAATATTTCTTTCAGGATCAAAAAGAGTTAGATCGTGCGGCCAAAGTGTTATCTTGGAACAAATGGCTAATGTCAATGTTGGGTCTTTGGCCTTTTCAATCCAACGATCTTATTTTCTCGATTAGTTTTATCTACTTCAGTTTCCTCTTGATTCTGGAGTATCTAAGCTTCTTCCTTTACATCGGTGATCTCGAACTCGTGATCATGAATTTAACAGAAAACGTGGCATTTTTACAAATATTTGTGCGAATGAGTACGCTAAGATTATATAATGATGAAATCGGTGAGGTCATAACGGAGGCCATGAAGGATTTTGATGAGACAAATTATAAAACCGCCGAGGAGATTAAGACATTCGTCACTTACTACGCTAAATCGAGAATCTTTTTTAAGCTGATGATGGTGTTTGTCACAATAACAGCTTCGTCATACTATTTGACTCCGATTCTTATTATTCTCGGAAATGGAGGTGAGTTGCTTTTTTGTATAACTTGATCTCGACGTATTTAGAAGAAATATGTAAAATATATGAAACAAATAAAGTCGTTAACTGGCAGTTGCGCATTTTTATTATACTTGGTTTTACAGAACGAGTTTTCATATTTTTATGATGAATATTTTTTTTTATCTTCAAGTTTTCAAAATCTACGTATCTCCTTGAGTTTGAAAAAAGTGCCAAAGGTAGAAATTTTATTTAAAATGATTTTTTTTAATGCTAGTATTAACGTCAGAGTTGAACGTTTTCTTAGGACTACCTGAAATAGTGACCAACGAAAATGTGACTCAAATAATTTACCTATTGCCTTATCGCTTTCATGTGTTCTACGCGATTGAAAATATACGTATGTACACGATTACATACGTCTGGCAAATGCCGTTTGCCTTCGTCAGTGCTTGTGGACAAAGCACTGCTGACTGTATTATGGTTACCCTCGTCTATCACATTTGCGGTCAGATGTCGGTTCTTGCTTTGCGCATTAACAATATAGATACCGAAGTCTGTGATTGTGGGCCTGAGATGCGACATATGATGCTCATGCATGTACGATTATTACGGTGAGTTCATACATATACATATACGCGGAAGCTTTAGTTAAAAATGTATTGTTAAAAGCTCTCCTTTAGTTTCACATTTTAGTTAAAACTAAACAAAATAGAGCTTTTTCGTTTTTTATCTAAGATAAAGATTTTTGTTACATAAATTCTATATTTTTTTCTATTCTTTATTGACAAAGGAAACACAACTAAGTGTCCCCCTCCAACTTTAATAAACTTTGTATATGAAAGAATGTATATTTAAAGTGTCTTTTATTTTTATCTATATATTAACATATCCAAAACTTATTATACGTAAACTCGAAGGGAATTTGATTATATTTTCTTGTTAAAGAGTTTACCTTAATAATTGAAATTTGGAATAAACTTCTGTTATTAGCAATTTTTATTAAAATAAATTGCATTTATATATGCATTTATATATGCTTGGACTTTCACAGAATGGGAAAGATAATAGGAAAAGCATTTAGCGCTATATTGTTAGTGCATCTTTTAGGAGCTACTTCTCTCGTAAGCATCCTCGGTTATCAAATGTTATCGGTAAGTCAATATTGTAATGATGATCACATAAACGTAATATTTAATACATTTACGTATTTAAAAACAATTATAATATAAGAAAATAATATCAATTTTTGTTTTAACATACATATATTTGGGCCCAAAATTCGCAACTTAAAATAGTATAGCAAGATCGTTCCCGTAAAATTCAATAAAAAATAATTATAAATTTTTATTTTAAGTAATTTTTGTCCTCATATCCATGATCAATCACACGTGAAGTAGTTTAGTGTTCGTTGATGAGCGCACCCAGAAAAAGGTTTTTTCAATTCAAAGAAATGTTTCTTTGCTATACTGTTAAAGAAAAAATTTCTTTGATTTAAACATCATTTTTTAAAATCAAATAAAAAAGTTTATTTAATTAAATAAAATTTATTTAATTAAATAAAAAAATTACATTGAAATAAAAAAATTGGGTATAATTGAAAAGGGGAACAACTGCCAATAAACTGGACCTTGATATATGTTATCAAGATCATAACTCTGAATCATCTCCAACAGGACCGTCGCTCATCATTCATTAAAAAGTTATTAACAAAAAAATTTGAAAAAT